GCAACAATGAATGAATGGAATCCCAAAATTTCTGTAGATGTTCATTGAAATGAAAAATAAACAACCTAAATTTTAAAAAAAAAATCCTTGCCTCTGAGTAACAACCTGCTTTCACCTTCTCCAGGACAGACCTATTTGTTGTCTTGGCAGTCTATGGTATGTTAAATACTTTTTTCTCCAGCACCACAACTCAAAGGCATTAATTCTTCTGTCATCCATATTCATTGTTCAAGCAGCTCTCAGATGCATAACAAACAACTGAGAAGACTATGGCCTGAATTAGCAGCACCTTGGTCTCTAGACTGACATCAATGCTCTTTGGCACGCTGGCAAAGTTCTTGACAGCAAATTTACTCAATGCCATTTGTCTTTTCATTTCCTGGTTGCTGGTGCCAAAGCTGTTGATTGAGGATCTGAACAAGATGAAATAGTTAACCATTTCAATCATTCCTCCATCTATCATGATGCTGTCTTTTGGCCCAATGGTAAAGATTTTTGTTTTCCTGATGCTTACATACAACTGATATTGAAGGTTATAGTTTTTATCTTCTGCAGGTGCCTCAAATCCTCCTCAGTTTTGATGAACAAGGTTGTATCATCTGCGGTGGCCGTAAAGTCTTTCAAAGGTGTATTCTTTATGGAAGTAGACTGCCACATCTTTCTCCAAGTGTGTTTAAACTGCCTACCTTTTGACTAGCAATCAAGCACTTAACCACTGTACCACCAAGATTCCTTCAATATCTTGCAAAATCCATTTTAAAAGCAAAATAATTTATAGTTTCAAAGTCTATAATCCTACTCTATACTACTTTTGATAATTATATTTTTTATAAAGTACTAAAGAGCAAGAATGTCAGTTTAAAGAATCAGGTGCACCTGATGAAAGCCCTTGCTTCCTATACATCTGAGTTGTACAATGAATAAGGAAGACCAAAGAATCAATGCTTCTGAATTGTGGTATTGGCAAAGATAATTGAATACACCATAGACTGCCAAAAGAACAAACAAGTCTGTCTGGAAGGAAGTGCAACTAGGGTACTCCTTAGAGGCAAGGGTGGGGAAACTTGCCTCTCACACTTTGGGCTTATTGTCAGAAAGACCCAGGCCTTGGGAAAAGATATCACGCTGGGAAAGGTAGAGGGTTAGAGAAAGAGAGGAAGACTCTCAACAAAATGAACTGGCACAGTGACTACAATGATGAGATTGAGCATAATCAGGATTCTAAGGATTGCACACGACAGGGCAAAGATAAAATCTGTTGTTCACAAGGTTGCTATGGGTTGACTCGAAGGCACCTAATAACAACAACAATATAACTTATGACACTAGATAAACTGGAACTAACTCTGGTGGCCTGGTCCATAGAGAGTTGAGCTACTAACTAAAAGCTAGGTAGTTCAAATCCATCAGCTATGCAATTTACAGCCTCCAAAAACTGGAGAGTCAGTTTGAGTTGGTTCCAACCTGACATAGGGTAACTGTAAGTTGTAGTTGACTTAGACCTAATAACAACATGAGTCAAATAGAAAGGATGGCAGATTTTTGGTTTTTAAATTAACTCGTTATTTTAATTTACAGTCTTTATTTTTCTTACAGAGCAGCTCAAATATTCAGAAACAAAAGATAATGTCTTTCTTATGCCAGTTCAAATTGGCAAGCATCTTTAGATATTGAACTGGTATTTTTCAAATTGCATGTATATGTTTTGTATTCTAGAGGACGCATAAAATGTTCAGAAAATATTAGATTGGCTGAACTAGGATTTTGGTCCTTAGTCTTTGATAGTTAACTGTAAATTTAGGGCTTAGTTCTGTTAAAAGTTCTAAGATTGTAAGACTAGAATTCAAAAAAATGTTTTATACTAAAATGGTAAAACTCTTCTTGGATTACTTAATGGTGAGAGGAAAAAAAATCAATCTCTTTCACTTCCCAAAGTCTGTACATTCCACAAAGATAATTTTTCACGAATATCGTGAATTCATAAATATCAAGTACCTAGAATGGTCTTGGAGAAAGTGCAGCCAGAGTCCTAGGAGGCAAAGATGAGGAGAGGCTATTCCTTGGAGAGGGATATCAAGCTAGGAAAGGTGGAGGGTCAGTGAAAGAAAGGAAGACACTCAACTAGGTGGACTGACACAGTGACTGCAGCAAAGGGCTCTAGTGTGTCAGAGAAGTGTGAGGATGGCACAGAATAGGGTAGTGTTCAGATCTGGTGTTCATAGGGGTCGCTTTGGGTCATATTTGATTCTATGGAACCTACCAACAACAGAAAGCGTGACATTTTGAATTGAACTTGAGTTAAGAGACTCTAGCTACTTTGAAATAATCATGTCGAAAATATATCAAGCATAGTTTCAGAGAGCTCTGGTGGCTTAGTGGTAAGGAATTGGGCTGCTCACAGTTGCAATCCACCAGGTGTTCTACTCGGGTTCCCTTGCCTAGGAAAACTCGCTGGAAGGTCAGAAACGTGTCGGTTCCGATTTGACAGTATATAACAACATAAGAAGCATAGTTTCACTATTCTGAGGAATTCTTACACTGCTGAAATGAAAATGCTACAAAAAATACTTCTGATAAATCCATAAGAGAGTTAAATGTGTCAAGAGCAGAAAGATGTTCAGATGTTCCACTCTATATTCCAAGGGACTCAAATCTAAAGAAGTGTCAAAACCTCGAAATTACATGCATCCATTGGCTTATAGAAGGCAGTTATAGCCTACCACTCACCACTATCAAGATTCTACATGTCCACAACACAACGAGTTACAGCTCATTCTCTTGAAAATATCATTCCACAAACTGAGGAACTGAAGCCATGAAAGACGCGGAACTGCCGGACAAAGGTGGCGGAAGGAGAGAAAAGGCTTGCAATCTCTAATGTGAATGGGAAGAGCTCGTGTTACACCAAAAAGCATCCTCACCTCCTTTTTCCTTTGGGCAGAGGCCAAGGGAACTCTGTAAATGAGCAGCAGTGCCACTACCGCAGTCGCAGAGACACACCAAAGCCACCAACGAGCAGCCATATTTGCTTCCCTCACTCCTATTAATGAAACTTTGCTCTGGCTATGTCTGAGGGTGGAGCGTAAGAACAGGCCAGCCAGCCCCTTGCCCTTCTTCATTGGTCCGAATCAGCCTTGCCTAGCGGATCCTAACATTACATCACAGCAAAGTATGCTAGAAGCCGGCTGAAAGACTGTTCACTTCTAATTGGTTCTGGTTAGCCAATAGAAATGAGTCAATCTGGAGGTTGTTCATTGGCCTCCTCAAGATGTTGGGCCAACCCTCTCACTTACACGTAGTACTTTGAGTGTCACATACGCAGTTGTGAAATGGTGGCAGTTTGGAACTGCAAAAGTGTTTAACGTTGATAGAATAGGATATTTTCTGTGTAGATTCATTCAAAAGTCCTTTAAAGGCACCTATTTCAGGAAATATTCTACCTACAACCAGGAGAAAATAATATAGATGACGGGACCTTCTAAGAATCAAATCCCTTCTCCAGCCAGGTAAAAATTAAAAACACAGACTAAGAAAAAAATGTTTGCCAAGGAAACACTGCATGGTTCAAAACTGGGAAAGGTGTGCGTCAAGGATGTGTCCTATCTCCATAGCTTTTCAATCTATATGCGGAACAGATTATCCGGGAGGTTGGGCTCTATGAGGAAAAGTGTGCCATCGGGATTGGAGGTAGACTCATCAACAGTCTGCGTTATGCAGATAACACAACCCTGCTTGCTGAAACTGAGGAGGACCAGAAGCGCTTGCTGCAGAGGGTCAAGGACTGCAGCCTTCAATATGGACTGAAGCTCAACATCAAGAAAACAAAGACTCTCACCCTGGGCAGATTGGGAACATCATGATAGATGGTGAAGAGGTTGAGATTGTTGACAGCTTGAGTTTCCTTGGCTCTACAATCAACGCTCTTGGTACCAGCAGCCAGGAAATTAAAAGCCAAATTGCACTGGGAAAGTCTGCAGTCAGAGTTACTGAAGAGCAACAATGTCAGTCTGGAAACTAAGGTGCACCTGATACAAGCCATGGTCTTTGCAGTTACTTGCTATGTGTCAGACTAGGGATAATAAAAGGAGAATTGATGCCTTTGAGCTCTGGTGCTGGAGAAGAGTATTGAATATACCGTGGACTGCTAGGAGAACAAACATGTTCATCCTGGAGAGGGTGAAGCCAGGCTGCTCCTTGGAGGCAAGAATTTATATACTTTGGACATGTTGCAAGGCGGGATCAATCTTTGGAGATGGACACCATGCATAGGAGGGTGGAGAGACAATGCAAGAGAGGAAGACTCTCAATGAGATGAATTGATTCAGTAACTGGGGTAATTGGGATAGGTTTATCGGAGACAATAAGATTGGTAAAGGATAGAGCAGGGTTTAGGGCTGTTGTACATAGGGTCGGCATGAGTAGCAGGTGACTCAACAGCACATAACAACAACAACAATGGCATACCTGATAAGGAACTCACATCTAAAATTTATAGAGTACACCAGCACCTCAACAAGAATAAAATAAACAACCCAATAGCAAAATGGGCAGAGAATATGAATAAACACTTCACCAAAGAACACATTCAAATGGCAAACAAACACATGAAGAAATGTTCAAAATCCCTAGCTATCAGAAAGATGCAAATCAAAACAACTATGAAATATCATCTCACCCCAGTAACAATAGCAAAGTTCAACAGAATAGCAAAAAACAAATGCTGGTGAGGTTGTGGAGAGATTGGAATCCTGTTCAGTGCTGATGGGAGTGTAAAATGGTGCAACCACTCTGGAAGGCAGTATGGCAATTTGTCAAAAAGTTGGAAATAGAAATAACATTTGACCCAGCAATTCCACTACTAGGAATATACCCTAAAGAAACTGTAAATGTCACCCAAGCAGATATATGCACACCCATGTTTCTTCTTCGCAATAGCAAAGAGATGGAAGCAATTCAAGTACTCTTTTCCTATTCTCCTCCCAATTCCCATATCAGTCCTGCTTTATAACACTGGTGTTATGCACTATTTTTCCTTTTATGACTGAGATATTTCACTGAGCATAATGTCCTCCAGAGTCACCCATGTTGTGTAATGTTTTACGAGTTTTCTGTTTTTCAGTGCTGCGTAGTATTCCATTGTGTGACTATACTATAGTTTTTCTATCCATTTGGCTTTTACTGTATTTCAAATAAAAATGAAAAGCAAAAATATACTCAATATAGCTAAGGGAGATTATGAAAAACAGGAGCTTTTAAAAATATGTTCTATGTCTCACAAACTATCAGGTGCATTATGTCAATAATTAGAAAATAATTTTATTAAGTTACATCATTAATTTACTACTTAGAACACCAAGGATTTAAATTGTGTGATATGGATAGTAACTGCCTTCTTTTTAAACTTATTTTTGTTTTGGAAATTAAAGCAAAAGATTGGAAAGCAGTATTTCTCCGGTCTTTTTAAAGTTTTTCTAGCCATGCTATTGTTGTTATATTCCAACAGTCATCTGGAGCTCATAGTGACCCTATGCACAATAGCTCTAAACCTGCCCTATCCTGAGCCAATCTCACTGTTACTGACATGTCTACTCTCATTATTCCAGTTACTATGTCTATCAATTTCATCCTGGGTCTCCCTCTCCTGCACTATCCCTCCAATGTTCCAAGCCTGATGTCCCTTTTCTAAGGACTGGTCCCTCCTGACAACATGCCCCAAGTATGACAGACAGAGCTTCAAAATCCTTGCCTCCAAGGAGCAACTTAGTTTCACCTTCTTCAGGACAGACATTTTTGTTCTCTAAGCAGTCCGTGGGGAGTTCAATGCTCTTCCTCAGCACTACAACTCAAAGGCATCGGTGCTTCTTCTGTAATCCTTATTCTTTGTTCAGCTCTCAAATGCATAACAAGCGTTTGAAGAGACCATAGCTTGGAATCAGGAGCATCTTGATATTTAGACTGACTCTGTTGCTCTTTAGCACTCTGTAGATTTACCCAGTGCCAATAGTCTTTTGATTTCCTGACTGCTAGTGCCAAGAGTGTTGATTGTGGATCTGAGCAAGCTGAAATTGTTAACAATCTCTCTTTCTTCTTCATCAATCATGATTGCTCCAGAAGTTTTTGGATGTGCATAGGGATTTGAGTCTTAGAAGATCCCATTCATCTATGTTATCTTCTCCTGGTTGTAGGTTTTCCAGGATATTGGGAA